AATTCCGGAGCGTTATTGGGATGGGCTTGGATGGCCAGAATCCTAAGCTGTGGGCACAGCTTCCCTTGGAGGGTCGGCAGGAATTGCTGATGCTCCTTCACCATGTCGAAGAATCCTTGACCTGGCCCAGGCAGGTTAGAGATAATGTTGTCCAGCTGCAGCACAATTCGGACGTGACCGATCGGCCCATCACGCTAACTCAGGGCCTCTACCGCTGTTGGTCCGTGATGAGGAGGGATGGGGTGTCGCGCTGGGCGGCTGGAGAGGGGGGGGCTCGCTTCTGGTACAAGGCGGTCAGAGGTAGTTCGGCCCTTAGAGCGGCGATCGCTCGCCAGCTTCAGCTCGAGGTTTCCACCATCCAAGGGTTTTCCTGGGCGGAGATCCTGTGGGACCTCGAGAAGCTTTACGATCATCTCCAGTGTTTTGAAATCCTCAGGCTTGCGAAAGCCACGGGGCATCCGATGTTTGAGCTTTACCTTGGGATGTCCATTCGCTTCGCTCCGAGGAGAGTTCGCGCTGAGAATAGCATCAGCGAGGTTATAATCCCGTGGCGAGGCATTTTAGCAGGGTGCAACCAGTCTGTAGATGGAGCCAGAGTAGGTTTGTTTGAGATGTTGCAAGACTTGCACGACTCGTTCAGACCCCTCCAACTTGACACTTGGGCGGACGACTGTTCTCAGCGGGTGGTGGGGCACTCTCGGGAGGTGGTCTCGAAGTCTTGTGATTGTCGCTAGGAAACTGTGGAAGTTGTGCAGCAACGGGGGCCTCGAGGTTTCCAGCAAGTCGGTCCTCGTGAGTTGCCCGAAACATCTTGCCACGGAAATTCAGTCAGCACTTGCTAAGCATGGCCTGAATGTACAAGCCAATCAGGTAGCGAAAGATTTGGGAGTGGATGCTACTGCCACCCGTCGTTGTGATGCCACTCAGAAGAAGCGGCTGAGTGCCTCCGCCAGCCGCGCCAAGATGATCGCTCAGGTGGTCAAGGTGGCGCCTAAGGCGAGAGTGCTTGGTCGCGCGGGGTTTTTGCCGCAGGCGACGTGGGGGCTGGAAAGCATCGGCCTTGCCCCGCCGACGCTGCGAATCCGAGCGCAGGTGGCTGCGCTGTCGGGTGCCCGTTTTGAGGGAGGCTGCTCGACCACGGCGCTCTATTGAACGATGGGAGCTGATCACGACCCATTGTTATTCGGACGCCTGAAAGTTTTTAGGTCGTGGTACGAGCTCCTGCCTTGTGCGCTGCGCTCTAGCGAGCGACCTGTCCAGCTTGCGTGGGGAAAGGCTTGGAATCAATTGCTCAATGTAAAGAGAAGGTGGGGCCACGTTCGGGGGCCCCTCACGGCTGCGATCGCTTGCCTACAGGACATAAATTGGGATGCCCCTGGGCCTTGGCTTTGGACTGACAGATTCGACGGCGCCACCTTTGATTTGGGGGCCTGTGATCCTGAGGGGCTCATTGATTTTGACCTCCGAGGCTCCCTTGAAGGCCAGGCGCGGGCTAAAGCGGCCCATCACTACCACGGTCGGGGTTTGGAGCGCAGTGCTGATTTCACGGTTGCCTATCGCCACTTGAAGCGATTGGGGCGAAGGCAGCAGCATGATGAGGCGGCCGTATTGAAGATGGTGCTCACGGGGGGGTTGTGGCCAGCCGCCAGGCGCTTCGGGGAAGAGAGCCTCCATCCTCCTCTGCCTCCTCCCCACGGCGGCAATGGCGGCGGCGGCGACGGCGGCCCTCGGCCCGACCCTGCGCCCGAGGAGCAGGCTGGCCCCGACCCGCGCCCCGAGGAGGGGCGGCCCGTGGCCGCAGGAGTAGACGAGGAGGACGACGTTTTCGGTCTCGATGACCTGCTGCAGCAGCAGGCCTGAGATCGGGCTTGAGGAGGCCAAGCCTCCTTCGCCCGCTCCTGGCGCGCCTCGTCGCCTTCCCTCTTGCCCGAGGTGCGGGGCGGAGTCGGAGACTCTGTTCCATCAGATGTGGAGTTGCCCCTGCAATTCGGAAATCGAGGGGGCGGCTCTTGACTTGCTTCCCCAGGCCGAGCAGGAATAGGAAGAGCACCCGTGTTTTTGGTTGAGGGGGTTGCCCCCTTTGAGGTGGACGTCAGGGCCGACGCTCGTCGACACCTCGTATGAGCCAGTTTTCTCCCCCAGCCTCAGCCAGGGGCCGATCGATCTGGAGGAGGCGGACGCGGTGGTTGGGGCGGACGGGTCGGGGGGGCCGTACTCGGCTGAGCCCAGGCTTTGAAGGTGCGGGTGGGGGTTCTCCATAATTCGGGGGGCGGACCGACAGTTAGGTTTGGGGCGTGGATCTCTCCCAGGGTTTAAGCGGTCGGTGCCCCTCGCCGAGCTCGAGGCCATAATCCAAGCCCTTATGTGCACCACGGGAAGCACGGAGGTTGCTGTGGACCCGGCTGTGACGATCTCGGGGTTCAAGCAAGGACTTAATTTCACCCATAGTGTAAATGTGTCTGCTTGGAGGAGGTTCTGGGATGCCGCCCAAGGCCGCTCCATTGTCACGCATCAGGTTAAGAGCCACACGAGGCCGGCCCCAGAGAGAGTGGACGGACCACCCCTGGGGTTGTGGCTTGCCAGTGGTGCTGCCGACAAGGCAGCTGATTGTGGAGCTCATAAGTGCCAATTGCCTGACAGTGGTTGATGAGTTGACTCTGAGAGTGCAGAAGCATTTAATTGCCGTGGCACTGCATGTCGCGTCTCGTGCCCCAGAGCTGCGTGGGCCCAGCTCCAAAGCCGCTCGCGCCGCCGAGGCTAAGCTTCGGGGGAAGAATCGGGCCTTGAGGGTGGAGGAAGCTAAGGCGGCCACGACCCATAGGATCGGGCACGACACTAAAGGCATCAAATGCCTGAGGTGTCTCACTCGGCCCTCACTTGACCTCAAGGTGTGTGAATGGTTAGCCTCCCCTTGTGCCCATGTCCCCGCTGGCCTCGACCTCTCCAATAAGGTAGAGTTTTGCCAGGGGGTTTTCTGGTGTCAGCTGTGCGGGGCGACGGGCACGAGGGGGAAGTTTGTGAAGCTCGGCCAACCGCGTCGACCTGATCAGATTGGTACCTGGGGGAGGAGGGTCCTGAGCGCCCTCGCTGCAGGTAAGCTCCCCCCTGGGTTTAAGTCTTGGCCTGAGCCAGACGAATCCGTTTACTTTTTGGTTTTGGCGTGCTCGATTCTGGGATTTCACGCTGCAGTTCTGGGCGTGGACGAGAAGGAGGAGGAGGAGGAGGAGAAGGAGGAGGAGGAGGAGGAGGAGGAGGAGGAGGAAGAGGAGGAGGGGGAGGAGGACGAGGAGGAGGAGGAGGAGCAGCAGGAGAGGAAGAGAGAACGATGACGGCGGCGACGACGGCGGCGACCACACGAGGGCAACAGCGACTGCGGCTACGGCCCCTCGGCACGGCGTGCGCATCCCGGCCGCCTCTCGCGCGTGCCTGGCCCTCCGCCGGACGCTGGCGCGTCTGAGGGAAGAGGTGTACAGTCCACCCGCAGAATACAGATGGGCAACCTTTCAAAGGTACCCCTGCATCCTTGCCCCTTCGGCCCATCCGTAGCGACTTTCGCTGGCCAACCTCGTTGGAACAACGTTCACATGGGCATCCAATGCCCTTGCATCCTTACCGCGCATCCTTGTGATACGGGTTGACTGCATCGAGGACGCGTTTGTGCTGCGAGTGCTGTGCTGGCCCATCTTGTCCGAGACGTGATTCGTCGTGGTATTTGTTGGCGACCTGGTTTAAATACCGTGGAAGCCAGTCCACAAGAAACCTTCCATAAGAAACTCAAGCCTGAGGCCCCAGGGCGTCCATTGGTTTTTGGTGTGGGAACGTCGCGCTCTCCACAGCCAAACCATCAACACCTGAGAACCCAGGGCACCCTGGAGGCAAGCAGGGTGCTTCCCGGCATGGGTCTCCACACACTGCGCACTTCTTGCCACAGACTCGTGCATGCTGCCGATGGGTAGACGGCAGATAAGGGATGGAGCACCGAGCCCTGCTTTTGGGGGCCGCCTCGGTGCGCGTCGCCACGGCCAGATCCGCCTCGGCGTCCCAGCCGCGAACGCGCCCCAAGTGGGATCTCCGGGGGAGCGACTTGCCGTGCAGTGGGGGCGCGTGCCAAGAAACCAGTTGGATTTTGCCAGGGTGCCCAGGGTCTCTTGGACTATGATGGGCTCCCAATCAGATCTTGACGATGTTCGATCGGCACATGTGGATTTTCACTGCACGAATCGCGTATTTCAGGGTTGGGTTTCTTGCGGAGGTTTCTTGTGGCCGAGCCCCCACTGTACCCTCCCGCGGGTGTTTGGGCGACGCTGCCCAGGAGGCAGCTGTCTCGCGATCGCGGGTCTGCCGCCGACGCACTCGTGATGCCACGAGCTCACCCACATGCGAGTTGCTCTTCTCTCGCAGGGCGGACGGTCCGTCTTGAGCCCCCATTGAGGTTCCCTCTGTGGATGCATATCGCAATTGGGCATAGTAGTTAAGCCCCCCGAGGCTTCGGTATGACCTGCAGAGAGCATCATAAGGCTTCCCACGGTGTGCGGACTGTCGCCAGTAGATGCGGGCATCGCTGCTTTTGCGTGACACGGCTTCCTGCATCCCGAGTTGCGCAAGGCATTCACACGGACGGGATCATCACCGTCTTGAGCACACGCCGCGTCGTTTCTGGCCCATTATTCCGCGCATCATGGGCATACCGTTGAGGCTATGTTGGGCCACCATGCTACAACGGAATCGCTCTGGGAGGTACTTTCGGGAGGCCCGGGGGAGCATCCTTGCGGGTGCGCTCAGGCGTCCCAAAGAAACGTCCCGACAAGTGGGACCCGGGGACGCGTCCTGGCAAGCGCCTTTGCGCCCCACGGAAGCGTCCTGGGAGGGGCACCCCCTGGCGCCCAAAAGAAGCGTTCCTGGTGGGCATCGGGAACGTCCTGAGCAAGAAGCGCCTCCGTAGCGGCTGCCGCCTGCTGACGGGGACCGCCGAGCGATGACGCGAGGCGCGAGCGCCCTAGGAGTGCTTGGAGGACCTCCTGCTGGGCGTGGGCACGGTGCTCTCGGACCAGCGCGAGCGGACCAAGCAGGCCCCGGTGGGGACGGTGGGGGGTACAACGACGTTGGTGTTATACATATATATATATACACTTAGATTAATATTTTGCTTGCCCCCCCCCCACATGATCATACATATTCTCCCCTCCCTCATCTGCTCCCCGCTCTCCGTCGCACTTCCTCATCTTCTTATCCTCCTTCAGCGGGGCGCTTTGGGGCCTGTCCCGTCAGTTGCTCCTCGCCTTGGGCGGCAAGGACAAAACGACCGAGTGATCGACGTAAGATTTTCTCTGGCTTGCAAGCTTGCTTTCAGTCATTGCCTTGATGAGCGTGCCATCAATCCATCCATCAGCGGGGCAGTGCAACCTCGGGCTGAGGGCGGCAGCTGGGCACTGCAACCTCGGGCTGAGGGCGGCACGCTTTTTAGTATTCTCTCGCGCTGGATCCCAGTCCGTCTGTACCCGCGGGAGGGGGATTATGATGATGAGGAGGGGGATCAGGAGAGTGAAGAACTCGATAATATGAGCGAGGAGGAAGAGGAGCTAGATAAGACGAGTGCGATCCCGACGATTATGACGAGGATGCTGATGATGCTGATGATGACGGTGATGATGATGACGATGGTGATAATGCTGATGATGACGGTGACCATGATGATGAGGAGGAGTGCAGAGGCTGAGGAACTGAACGCGCTGAGAAAAGGATCAGTTTTGCACAGGCTCCCGATAGGAATCCTTTTGCACAGGCTCTCAACAGGAATCCTTTTTGCACAGACTCTCAATAGGAAGCAATTTGTATTGCGTTTCAATACTAATCTTGTTTGTATAGGCTTTCAGTAGGAATCCTTCTTTTTTTTGCACAGGCTCTCACTTGAAATTCTTGTGTAAAGGCTTTCTGTAGGAATCGTTGAGAAGAGACTCTCAATATGAATCCTTTTTTGTAGAGGCTCTCAATGAAAATCCTGTTGTGGTGGCTCTCAACAGGAATCTTTGTACACAGGTTCTCAATAAGAATACATTGGTATTGTGTTTCAGTCGGGGTCATTTTTGTATTGGCTCTCACTCGCAATCTTTTTGTTTTGTAGAGGCTCGCAATAGGAATCGTTTTGTACAGGCCTTCAATAGGAAACTTTTTTTTGTAAAAGGCGCTCAATAAGAATCGTTGTGTAGAGGTTCTCAATGGGAATCCTTTTGTGGAGGCTCTCAATAGGAATCCTTTTTTTTTCCTAACGGCTATCCGTGGGAATCGTTCCGTTGAGGCTATCGACGTAAATACTTTTGCAAACGCTCTCTATCTGAAGCCATTTGTATTGCGTTTCCACAAAATCCTTGTTGTCTGAGTTTTCGTGCGGGATCCCTTTTTCTAAGCGGCTCTCATTCGGAATCCTTTTGTTTATTAAAGAAGAGACAGTATTTGTGTAGAGGCTTCCATCAGGAGTCATTGTGTAGATGCTCTCAATGGGAATCTTTTTCGTGGAGGGCCTCAGCAGGAATGCTTTTGCACGAACTTCCAATAGGAAGCGGTTTGTATTGGTTTTCAAGTATGATCATGTGGTATAGGCTTTCAATAGGAACCATTGTTTTGTAGCTGCTCTCAATAGGAATCCTTGTGTAAATGGTTATCACTATGATTCATTGGGCAGAGGCTCCCAGTCGGAACCATTTGTTTGTAGGGGCTCTCAATTTTTGGGGTTGTGAAGCTCTCAACAGGAATCTTCTGCACAGGCGCTCAATAATAATAATAATAATAATACGAATAATAATAATAATACAGTCGCACTGGGATTCAATAGGACACCTTTTTGTCGACGCTCTCAATCCGAATCCTTTTTTTTGTCGAGGCCTTCGACCGGCAACCGCTTGCACAGGATTTCAAAAGGAATCCATGTGTTTTGGGCTTCAATGAAGCATCCTTCTGCGTAGGTTTTCAATAGGAACCTGTTGTCCCAACCCTCCTTGTGTTGGGTACTCGTTTTGGATAGAGCACTGTGGTATCCACCTCCCGCCCTCTCCTCCTTCTTCTCTCCTGTGTTCGCGGTGCCCTGCGGGGCTGCGATCTGCGCAACTGTCGCCACTTCGTGGGCTCCTGGGAGGCCCAGCGGAGGTACGTCCTGCGCAGATCACTTCGAGGCCTCCCTGTGCCCTGCGGGGCTGCGATCTGCGCTCCTGTCGCCACTTTCGTGGGTTCCTCGGAGGCCCAGCGGAGGTACGTCCTGCGCAGATCACTTCGAGGCCTCCCTATCCCCTGCGGGGCTGCGATCTGCGCTCCTGTCGCCACTTTCGTGGGTTCCTGGGAGGCCCAGCGGAGGTACGTCCTACGCGGATCACTTTGAGGCCTCCTTGTCCCTTGCGGGGCTGCGATCTGCGCAACTGTCGCCACTTTCGTTGGTTCCTGGGAGGCCCAGCAGAGGTACGTCTTACGCAGATCACTTTGAGGCCTCCGTGTCCCTTGCGGGGCTGCGATCTGCGCAATTGTCGCCATTTCCGTGGGTTCTGGGAGGCCCAGCGGAGGTACGTCCTACGCAGATCAATTTGAGGCCTCCCTGTCTCCTGCGGGGCTGCGATCTGCGCAACTGTCGTCTTTTTTTTGTTTCGTGGGTTCCTGGGAGGCCCAGCGGAGGCACGTCTTACGCAGACCATTGTGAGGCTTCCCTGTCCCCTGCGGGGCTGCGATCTGCGCACCAGTCGCAAGTTTCGTGGGTTCCTGGGAGGCCCAGCGGGGGTACGTTTTACGCAGATCACTTCGAGGCATCCCTGTCCCATGCGGGGCTGCGATCTGCGCAACTGTCGCCACTTTCGTGGGTTCCTGGGAGGCCCAGCGGAGGTACGTCCTACGCAAATCACTTTGAGGCCTCCCTGTCCCCCGCGGGGTTGCGATCTGCGCAACTGTCGCCATTTTCGTGGGTTCCTCGGAGGCCCAGCGGAGGTACGTCCTGCGCAGATCACTTTGAGGCCTCCCTGTCCCCTGCGGGGCTGCGATCTGCGCAATTGTCGCCACTTTCGTGGGTTCCTGGGAGGCCCAGCGGAAGTACGTCTTACGCAGACCATTTTGAGGCCTCCTTGTCCCATGCGGGGCTGCGATATGCGAAACTGTCGCCACTTTCGTGGGTTCCTGGGAGGCCCAGCGGAGGTACGTCCTGCGCAGTTCATTTTGAGGCCTCCCTGTCCCCTTGGCGCACCGTGCGCACCCGGCGCGCGCGTGGCGCGCTGGGCGCACCTGACGCACCTGGCGCGCACCTGGCGCACGTGGCGTTCCTGGCGCAGCTGGCGCACCTGGCACACCTGGCGCACCTGGCGCGCACCTGGCGCGCACCTGGCGCGCACCTGGCGCGCACCTGGCGCGCTGGGCGCGCCTGACGCACCTGGCGCACCTGGCGCGCTGGGCGCACCTGACGCACCTGCCGCACCTGCCGCACCTGGCGCACCTGGCGCGCCTGGTGCGCCTGGTGCACCTGGCGCACCTGGCGCACCTGGCGCACACCTGGCGCACACCTGGCACACCTGGCGCATCTGGCGCACCTGGCGCGCTGGGCGCACCTGACGCACCTGCCACACCTAGCGCAGACCTGGCGCACCTGGCGCGCCTGTCGCACCTGGCGCACGTGGCGCACCTGTCGCACCTGGCGCACGTGGCGCACCTGGCGCACCTGGCTCACTTGGCGCACCTGGCTCACTTGGCGCACCTGGCACACCTGGCGCAACTGGCGCACCTGGCGCGCACCTGACGCGCACCTGGCGCACACTTGGCGCACACCTGGCGCAACTGGCGCACCTGGCGCGCGCCTGGCGCGCACCAGGCCTGGCGCGCACCTGACGCGCTGGGCGCACCTGGCGCACCTGGCGCGCTGGGAGCACCTGGCGCGCACCTGGTGCACGTGGCGCGCTGGGCTCACCTGACGCACGTGGCACACCTGGCGCACTTGGCGGGCCTGGCGCGCATAGCGCAACTGGCGCATTTGGCGCACCTGGCGCACTTGGCGCGCACCTGGCACACACCTGGCGCACACCAGGCGCGCACCTGGCGCACCTTGCGCATCTGGCGCACCTGGCGCACCTGGCACACCTGGCGCACCTGGCGCACCTGGCGCACTAGGCGCACCTGGCGCCCACCTGGCGCGCACCTGGCGCACACCTGGCGCACACCTGGCGCACCTGGCGCCACTGGCGCGCCTGGCGCCACTGGCGCACCTGGCGCGCCTGGCGCGCCTGGCGCGCCTGGCGCACCTGGCGTACCTGGCGCAGCTGGCGCACCTGGCACACCTGGCGCTTTGGGCGCACCTGGCACACCGGGCGCAAACCTGGCGCACACCTGGCGCACACCTGGCGCACACCTGGCGCAACTGGCGCACCTGGCGCACACTTGGCGCACCTCGCGCGCCTGGCGCGCCTGGCGCACCTGGCGCACGTGGCGCACCTGGCGCACCTGGCGCACCTGGCGCACCTGGCGCACCTGGCGCGCCTGGCGCGCTTGGCTCACCTGGCGCGCATGGGCTTTTGGGAGACTCAGCGGAGGTACGTCCTACGCAAATCACCACTATACCATGGCGCCGAAATGTTCTTCGGTATTGAGTGGTCCTGAATGCAATTGCCACTTGTGTACAAAGGGTTGGGTACGTCTCAGGATAATTTGTTGTAGAGGCTCAATCGAAATCATGTTGCGGAGGCTCTCAATAGGAAACCATGTGTATTGCCTTTCAATCGTAATAATTGTGTATTGGTTTTCAATCGGAATCCTGTTTTGTACAGGCTCTCAATAGGAATCCTTGTGTAGAGGCTTTCAATCGAGATCATTTTTTTTGTAAAGGCTCTGAATAGGAACCCTTGTTGTCGAGGCTCTCAACACGATTTCTTCTGCACATGCCTTCGGTCGGAATCCATTTGTAGTGGGTTTCATTCGGAATATGTGTGTATTTGCTTTGCTTAGGAATCATTTTTGTAGAGGCCCTGAATCGGAATCATACTGTAGAGGCTTTCAATAGGAATCGTTTCGTAGATGCTCTCAATACCAATCCTTGTGTAGAGGCTCTCAATAG